CCAAATCTCTTCCCTCCCAGTCCTTCTTATGCCCTACCCCACCTCCTGCGAAAACACATACAACGTTTGTTGTGCCCTTCAAACAACAGTAGTCACTTAAGCTGTTCCTGCCCATCTGGAAAATAATATGAATAACACGAAAGAATGCAATAATGAAGTGACTGGAATTTAGCAACAAAAAAGGCCTCACTCACTTCCTTTGATAATTAAAACCTTTGTTAAAATGTTGACATCGATAGTCACTACAGTGTTGGGCTTTCACTCTATGTTGCAACGATGTTTGCAAATTCTCCAAATCCATTTAAATGAAAATATTTAATGACAAGTTTTAAACTTTATCAATTGCTAAATATAATTTGAAAGTTTAGTGTATGTCCTGATATATATTATGCCTTGAGACTGAATATAAGTAGCTCTATGAGAAAGTTCTGAAAATGAATTCGGCATGGGTAAATTAATGTGCCTTTAATCTCAAAGACTAGAGATTTAAAAGGCATGTGTCATTTTTAACAGAGAGGCGCCACACAGAAATCTATGATTCTGTCTTTTTCACTACCTCTCCCAGTTTAAAATTAGCTTGCAGCATGTTTTTTAAACATTAGTAAAACAAGATATACTTCCGGAATGCTCATGTGAAGGGCACGTGTGAAGACCTAATCTTGACAGTCATATTACAGAAAATAAGGGAGTGAGTTATTCAGTTTTTAATAAGGAGAGTGCATTACTGAGTTTAAATAAAACCTTATTTGCTGTGTGTTCTCATTTAGCAGAATTTTGAATGCCCGTGACCTCTGTGGTGCTAGGCAACCACAAAGGCAACTGAGGTCTGAGACACAGTGTCAGGGAGGTAGGGTCCTTTGGCCTCCTGTGGCCCAACTGACATCACTGAAGTTGGTTCCTTTCTGAGTAACTGCACACCCCCCTCTCCTCACCAACAATCCTCCAGGCATTGACTCTGAAGGATGTGGAGACCCTGTTAGTGTCTTTGCATGTTAAATCTAGATTTTGGAATCTGCACTGTACATCTAATGTCAAAACTCAGAGCCGTTGTGTTTATATTTTTGTTTTTGCATTTTGTGTTCTTATTTTAGACGCAGGGGATACATATGCAGGTTTGTTACACAGGTATATTGTGTGACGCTAGAGTTTGGGCTTCTAATGATCCTGTCACCCAAGTAGAGAAAATAGTGCCCCATGGGTAGTTGCCCTCCTCCCACCCTCCCCCCTTTTAGGATTCTCACTGTTTACTGTTCCATCTTTGTGTCCTTACCCAATGTTCAGCTCCCAATTGTAAGAACATTCATAGCCATTATTACCTCGTCACCATGTAACATTCCAAGGGTTTAAAATGCACAATATGACCACAGTTCTTTTGAGATCATGGTTGACTGTCCTGACAAAGGGGAACTTTTGGCTGCCCCTCCTCCACCCAGGGATAGAAGTGGACTTGGCGAAAGGCAGGTGGCCTGTGACGGCAGCGGCCTGCCCAGGCACGCCGAGGCTTGTTCGCTTTTAGAGTACTTGGTACATTTGGCACTGTGCGGCAACTTTTTGCTTCTTTAATCATGACCAATCAAAAATGATGAAACGAGGCCACCGAGGGGAGTAGAAATAAATTATTTGATGAGCCAGGAGTCCTGGTCTACCTTTGATCAGTAGGTGTTATATAATGGAGGCAAGACACAGATCGGACAGGAACCTCTGTTTTCTTACCAAAAAAGATAGGTCCAAAATGATCAACTCCTCCAAGAACACGAAGGGAAAAGATGAGATTTTACATGGAAAAAAAACAATGAGGGGTGGTCTAGGTGACTATAATCTCACTCTGCCAGAACAGCAAGATGACCAAGCATGTTGTGCACAGCAGGGGAAATAGCAGGACCAAGCTGCTCAGAACTGGTCAGAGCAGTGGACAATTTCTTGCAGATCTTACACCTTTTTTTTTTTTTTTTTTTTTTTTGAGACAGGGTCTTGCTCTGTCCCCCAGGCTAGAGGGCAGTGGTATAATCACAGTTCACTGCAACCTCGACCTCCCTGGGGTTAGATGATCCTCCCCCATCAACCTCTCAAGTAGCTTGGATTACAGGTGTGCACCACCACACCCAGCTAATTTTTAAAAAACTTTGGTAGAGAGGGAGTTTCACCATGTTGGCCAGGCTGGCCTTGGATTCCTGGGTTCAAGTGATCCACCCACCTCAGCCTCCTAAAGTGCTGGAATTATAGGTGTGAGCCACCACGTCTGGCTTTTTTTTTTTTTTTTTTTTTTTTTTTTTTTTTTTTTTTTAAGACTAAATGGATGCAGAAGAAATTTGGCTGATGTTTTTTGGCTGGCTTGCATACCAAAATCCCCTGGGAAACTAGGTCCCACCCCAATAAACCTGATGTAGTGTTAAGGATGCAAATCCTAGCACAAACTCTTGAAAGGCTCTTCAGGTAACTCCTCCAGCTTCAACGTACATGCAGCACTGAATCTGATTCTTCATATCAACACCTTAGAAATCCTACACCTTTGACCCCATAACCCCTCTTCAGGGAAGCCGTCCTATAGAAATAATGAGATATACAGACAATTTTTTAATAAAGATGTTCATAGCAATACTATTTGTGACAGAAAAAATTAAAACAGAACCAATGTTAAAGCTAGCGAAATTATTAAGCAAATTATATAAAACCAAAAAAGATATACAAATGGCCAAAAAGCACATAAAAAGACGCTTAACATCAGTCTTTAGAGAATATAAATCTGTAAGGACTATTTTACCATTTCTGGTGTGTGTGAGATACCGTTTCACACACACTAGATGGCTAAAACAAAACAAAACAAAACCCAGAAAATAGTGTTGGTGAGAATGTGAAGAACTTAGAGCATTGTTGATTGGAATGTAAAGCAGTGCAGCTGCTGTGGAATTTAATTAGCTATTTAGCTTGGTAGTTCCTCAATAAATTAAACTAGAATTACCATATATACCAGAAATTCCACTGCTATGTGTATATCCCAAAGATCTGAAAATAGGTGTTGAAGCAAAAACTTGTACATAAATGTCCACAGCAGTACGATTCACAATAGTCAAAAGGTGGAAACAAGCCAAATGTCCACCAACTGGCATCAACTGTTGAATGGATAAACCAAATGTGGTACAGCCATAGAGTAAAATATTACTCAGCCATAAAAAGGAGCAGAGTATAGTGATAGATGTTACAACATGGATGAAGATTGGAAACACTATGCTAACTGCAAGATGCCAAACACAAAAGGCCACATGCTGTATGAATCCATTTATATGAAAGAGCCACACTAGGCAAATCCACAGAGACAGAAAGCCGATTAGTGGTTACCAGGGATCGGGAGCAGGAGGGAATGGGAAGCAACTGCTTCATGGATACAGAGTTTCTTTTGGGGTGGTGAAAATGTTTTGGAATTAGTAATAATGGCTGCACAACACTGTAAATGGACTTTTTAAATGGTTAAAATGGTAAATATCATGTTATCTGTATTTGCCAGAATAAAAAAAACAAAAAAAATTACAATACATAAAACAGAATATTTGACTTGTTAATGTTGACCTTTCGAGAAAGTTTAATGAGATGTGAAAAATGTGGGAAAGAAAGCAGTCTATGAAACTACAGTTTGATCTCAGCTTCATAGTACATAAATATGCACAGAAAAACAAGAACTAGAAGAAAATTTATAAAAATGCTAAACAGGATTATTGGCAGATGCATTTTCTGTCTTTTTTTGTAATTTCCAAAATTTTATATAATATTGTTTATTATTAAATTATTAACTATCATTTTTGTAAACATAAAAATTTTCTTTAAAGATGGGACCATTGACACTTTGGATCACAGCTAGGAAAAGATAATGAGAATAATGAAGGCTCTAAAAACACGTGACATAATGATTCAGGTGGGCAGCTAGACAGGTGGGGGAGGCTGCAACAATCTGGAGAATTTATGCCCTGTCCAAAGCTGAAATTGTGGCTCCAGGTCTTTTGAGTTTTCAAGAGACTCCAGAGCTCCAGACATTTCAGTGAAATGCCCTGATTTTTAAATGTTGGCAACTTATTCAATATTTTTCAAACATAACAGGCCAAACAAAACACATCTGTGGACCGGATGTAGCCCACAGGCGCCAGTTAGCAAATTCTAGTTTATAAGAACAGGAATGTTTAGCCTGGAAAAGAAAAACCTTTCAAGGGATATAGTACTAGCAACATCAAGTATCTGAAAAATGACTATGTGGAAGATGGTGTGGGTTAATTCATGTGTCTCTAGAAGGCCAAATCCAATCTAAAGGCTGGTTGTCATCAGAGAAGCAGAACGGGGCACAGTCTATAAGGGAGAAGTCTCTATTAAAGCAGCTGTCCAGCAAGAAACAGCTTCAAAATGCAGCAAGCTGCCCACCCCTGATGTACTCTAGCAAAGGCTACATAAGCAGGATTCCTGCTTTGGGTCAGAAGTTGGACTAGGTCAAAGGCTCCTCATTGTGACTGAGCATCAGAAACTTGAAACAAAGCATACAAATTCCTGGACCATGTCCCGGAACCACAGAGTAAGGTCCTGGAGTGTGTATTTTTAAAAAGCAACTCCTTTGGGCATATACCCAGTATTGGGATTGCCGGGTCAAAGTGTATTTCTGGTTCTAGATGATTTAAAACCACTTAATCTTTGACTGTAACACAGGAATTCTAGTATTCTGATCCATGATTTTACCCATCTGGCCAGTAAGAAGGAAGGAGGGATCGAGGAAAGGAAGAACAATGTACCGGAGCGCATTACGGAGTAGGCTCTGTGCTAACTGGTTTCCTTATGTCATCTCACTGTATTTTTCACAACAACTGGCGAGTTGTGAAGTGATGTCCTCCACCCCATTTCCCTGAGAGAGAAACTGGGGCTTGGGGAGTTTGAGGATGGCCCAAGGTCACTGCCAGTCACTGGGAAGATCTTTCCAGCTCCAGATCCCATGCTAGTTCAGGTACGTCACATTGTCCTCTTCTTACCCATTCAACAAACATATCTCCAAGTGCCCTTGGTGAGCCAGGCAATGTATTAGGTGGCAGGGGTTCCACAGTGATCAAGATACAGTCCCCAGGCTCAAGAAGCTTTGGAAATCTAGAGAGGAAGAGGAAAAGTAAACACTGATATCATGGTGGGGGCAACAGGGTCATATGGGAGGGACACCCAATCCAACCTGGTACCATCAGGGAAGTCTTCAGAGAGGAGATGACAGCTAAGCTGGGAAAAAGAGACTCTAGGGTGAAGGTGCTACATCTACAGAGACCCAAAGATCAGAGGGAGCCTAAGCCTACCACGTGTGGGGAAATATGAGCAGTTCAGAGGTTGGAGTGTGGGATGCAAGGAGTGAAACTGTAAAACAGGGCTGGTCACACTAAGACTTTGTTACTAACCTCAGAGAAACAGGAAGCCAGTTAAGACTGAACAGAAGGGGACGACATATGCAGATTCACATTTAGTCGATCAGAGAGGCTGCAGAGTGGAGAATGGATTGGCAGAGGGTACACATGGGAGGCTATGGCAGTCATTCAGCTAAGAGGGGATGACAAGCCACACAAAAGTGGTGGCAAGATAGAAGCTGTGTAGCATAGAGATTACGTTTTTTCATTCAATCACTCATTCTTTCAGTAAATAATATTACAGAGCTTTTGTTATGTGCTGGCCATTCTGCCTAGGCTGGACATAAAAGCATGGGTAAAAGCAAACATAGTCCCTGCTGCCATGAAACTCACATTGTCAGCCCTCTGCTAGGCAAAAGATGTTTACGGAAGTATTTTCAAAAGTATTAAATAAAGCCAGGTGTGGTGGCTCATGCCTGTAATCCCAGCACTTTGGGAGGCAGAGGTGGGCAGATCACCTGAGATCAGGAGTTTAAGACCAGCCTGACCAATATAGTGAAACATCATCTCTATTAAAAATACAAAAATTAGCTGGGCATGGTGGTGCACACCTGTAATGCCAGCTACTCAGGAGGCTGAGGCAGGAGAATTGCTTGAACCCTGGAGGCAGAGACTGTGGTGAGCCAAGATCCCACCATTGCACTCCAGCATGAGCAACAGAGCAAGATTCCTCAGTCTTAAAACAAACGAACAAACAAACAAAAAGCATATTGGTTGATTATGTTATCAATAATAACATAGCAAGGAAAGGAGGTACAGGGCTGGCTCCTCCATCATCAATTCTCAAAGAATCATAAAGCATAGGAGTCACAAAAGATAAATCTAAAGAGTTATCAAAAGGCCAGTACACTTCAGAATTACACCCCTGATGTTCATGTGTGACAGTGTCAATCAGACTATCTGCTCTCAGTGTATTTCATTCAAGGAAAGTAAGAAAAATTTACCTACATTTTAATTAAAATGGGGATAAGATTTTAAGCTAATAAATTAGAAACATTATCAAAAACTTACTAAATGTGGCCTTGCACTAAATTAAATAAAAACTCTTCTTGTGGCATTTGAGATTGTTGCTAGGTGCCGGGGGAAGCAAGTTTGGATCTACCCCAAAGCTGGCCACAGAACAAGCAACTGGAAAATCATGACATGGAAGGAAGGGGGCAGGTGTCTGAAAACTGTGCTATCAATTTCTTCAATAACTTCAATCAGGTCGCAGACCCAGTTCACCAATGAGGCGAGGACATTCTTAGCAGAGTCCTCGTTGTTTAAATCACAGCGACAACATTCTTTAAATTCTTTCAGTCCATCCCAGTGTAATAATCACCCTCGATTAAACAGCTGTGCCTGTGGATGGCACATTAAGCTGCTTCTCTTTTAGAGGTGATTTTTATTTTTTGTGAACTCTCAGATGACCTCTCTGATTTTTTAGCATTCTGGCATCTCAAAGACCAGCAAAGAAAAACATATATTAGGAAACGAACATGTTCCCTTCCCTTTCTGTTTTTCACTTGAAACACTGCTTTTTTTTTTTTTTTTTTTCCCCAGACAGAGTTTCACTCTTGTCACCCAGGCTGGAGTGCAGTGGCCCAATTTTGGCTCACTGCAACCTCTGTTTCCCTGGTTCAAGTGATTCTCCTGCCTCAGTCTCCCAAGTAGCTGGGATTACAGGTGCTCACCACCACGCCCAGCTAATTTTTGTATATTTTAGTAGAGACAGGGTTTCACCATGTTGGCCAGACTGGTCTTGAACTCCTGACCTCAGGTGATCCGCCTCCCTCAGTCTCCCAAAGCACTAGAATTACAGGCATGAGCCACCGTGCCCAGCCCAAAACACTACTCTTAACAATGCCAGCTCACCGCTGATCTGAAAGACCCTCTTCTCGTTTCTTTCTTTGCCATGGTGCTCTTTCATGAGTTTGTGATAGACCTTTCCCCAGTCCACCAGGAAAAGGGAGCACACATCCCAGATTGGCAGCACAGAGTCAAAATCTGCTTGCCCAAAAATGTTATAGAAAGAAGGAAATCATGCCCCATATGGGTTGAATAATCCCAACCTTAACATTTCGCAACTCAAAAACAGAAATGAGGAAGACACATACGAGTTCTTACAAGCCAGCTTCCAACACAACCAGCTTTTAAAAACTGTATTGGATTCCTAAAACTAAAATTCTAAAGTCTTCCTCCCCCTTCTATAAATTGTACAGCCAGGAAAGAAGAGGCAATGCCAAGTGGTGACAAGGACTCTTGTTGCTATTATTGGGCCGTTGGTTTTCCCGTAGTGTTAGATAGTATTGATGAACTTTAAAAAAATCACTTTCCTCAAACTTTCTAAATATGTTACTGTAGATACTCCAAGACAGGTCTGAGATTTATTAAGTATTTTAGACATCTTCTAAGTAACTCCACAGAACACTCTCAAAACCAAAGTGTGACCTCAGCCTGCCCATAAGTGCCCTAGCGGAGAGTGCTTGTTATCATGTGACAACCCCCCCCACGCCCCAACAGTGTAAGAACAAAGTGGAGGCCAGAGGCAGGGCTGGTAGCTTCCCCTTAGTTCTCAGAAGGATTTATCTGATGATCCACTCACCTCTCCTCCCACCTTAAGGGAAGAATGTGAGATAAGCAAAACTTCTAGAAAGAACAATTAGCCCTTCAACTTCCAATATCCAGACAGGTTCAGTTCCCAGTAAGAGAGGTAAGCCATGCCACACGACAGGTATCTTATTTTTCAAGAAAAGCTTTCTCTTTATTGCTTTCGCATGGGTTCTAATGGTAACCTTGGAGAAGAATAACTGAAATCCCATGTAAGTGCCCCATTTTCTCTAGGCTGTTTGTCTGCCTCTCTTAGAACATAGTGTGATTCATCCATTAGGCTATCTCGAAAATAGGCATTTAGAATAAAGACAAAGGGGATAAAACAGGCAAGACTATTAGAGGCAGCTCTATGCTTTGCTTTGTGCTGCTCAAGTGATTCATGAATGCAATTCATTTCCTTGCCTACAGTTCACACACTTATGGCTCTTCAGAGATGAAAAGGCAAGACGTTCCAAGTAGTTTCTTCAAATGGACGACATCCTGATGCTGTTTATGGGCCATAAGATAAAAAACTATGACTTCACAGCAACTCTTAATTATGAGAACACCAAGAATAGGATAAATATAAAATCTATAGATAGCCATGGAAAACAAGTTTTAGTTGGCATCCTGCTTCGGCCCTGCTAAATCATTTACCAGAGTAAACCTGTTTTGAAAACACTTTCAATTCCCCAACTGCTCTCAAGTGGGAGAGCAAACGAACAGAGAAATGATGGGATGGGAGCTGGAGAAAGTCCTGACAAATATGTAGTTGAGGCTGCCACTTCCTTTCCTACGCCTCTAGCAGACATCACTAATCAAGCATGATACTCTTTACCATCTTCAATAGGCACAACCTCAGACTCTCAGCACTCAAGTACTCCAAGAAATCATTACCAATCAATAACAGCTGGCCCATTTGTCATTCTAGTTTGGGAGAAATCTGAATGATCCACCAGTTATATCATCAGTTAACTTTTAATTTCAACAAGAATTGAATGTTGGTTGATTGGTCTTTCATTTAATTACTTCACTTTCCTCTAAGAACTAGAATAGTATATGGAAAATTGTCATGAAAAGCTAAAACACATTGCTTCTAAGTTCTCTAAGATGGACAGATAAGCATGTTGTCTCAGCGCATAGCACAAGATTATCTTGTGAGTCAGGGGAACAGAGAATCAGGATGAGGGTTTAGCTGACGGGGAGTGAAGACATGACTGCAGCGAGAAGTTGAGGACTGCTGGGGACCCCATACTTGGACGTCTCACTTAGGGGAATATGGGCAAAGCCAGGAACCACTCAGAGACCACAGGAATCCACTCCTACTACCTAAGAGACGTCTCTTATGTACAGAAATTCCTTTGAGTTAAAGTTTCCCTGTTGAAATCACCTCTGAGTGAGTGAAGAGACTATTTTTCAGTCACACCGTAGTGGAGAATGTTTACTTAGGTTGTTTTTTTCTCAACTCCTAAAAAAAGAGCAGCAGCAAGAAGAAGTTGGGTGTTCCGAAGGGAGACAAAGAAAGAAAACAAATGTGTTGAGGCCTTCCAAGAAGGACTGTCCTGAATCCAATGCTGGGCTTGGAGATGTATTGAGGAGCACTTATTGAGCTACTACTGTATGCCAAGCACCTTTCATACATTATATTGCTTCCTCCTCACCCCAACAGTGAGTTACAATTAACATCTTCCATTTACAGATGAGAAAACCAAGACACAGTAATGTAAGTAACCTGACTGATGTTACAAAGCTAGTGATGCCCCATCCAGACCAAGATTTCTCTGACTCCAAAGCTTGTTCTATTCCCATTACACTGAGCTGGCTCCTCTGGGAAAGCATCAAAGACACACTTGGTACACTCAGAAATAAATGTTCCTTAAGGCCAATGCCTGTCTGACTCTACCACCTTCATCCAGAGATTGGGAAGAAAGCAAATTGTCCTCTTGCAAGGCAGGCCTTAAGAGAGAAGGATCACTCCCACCTGTTGGAACATCTCGCCTTGGAGAGATTAGGGGGCCGAGGGTTGTGGACTGGAATTGCATGTGTCAGCGTCCTTTGGCTCAAATATCATTCCTTCCTTGGGGAGAGAGGCAGCTTCAAAGGAGGTCAGAAACAGAAATTGAGCACAGTGAATGAGAAGCTGGAGGGGCAAATGGCCTCCTGTCACTTTTGATGGGGCAGAGGCATCCAGGGCAGGTGTGCTCTGTTTGGTGGTATAGGAGAGGGGGTGCCTAGAAGCTAGTCCTCTCCTGCTCCATCAGTGGGGTTTACCTGGGGATCATACACTCCCTCACAGAGTGTGGACTCCACTGTGCACCCGCATGCCAAGAGAGGGCAGTGGGCCAGGAGGACCCCTTGCCCCTTCTCTAAGCATATCCCACTCACTCCCATGCCATGACCCAGGCTGTAGCTGCTCTCCAAGGACTCCTTGGTCCTGCACCCTCAATATTCTGGGAGATTACAGGGTCTGTCTTTTGGGCAGGTCCTAGGACACCCAGGAGGAACATCACCAGCACACGTGGCCTGGGCAGCCATAGTTCCTGTCACAGAAGCAGTGACACAGGGAGCAGGAGACCTCCAGGGTGAGCAACAACCCAGGGACAATGTGGAGAAATGGGGAGCAGGAAGAGAGGGCAACTAACACACACTCAGTGTTTTCGGTATATCCCAGTGTATCCTCCAACTATCCCCATTCTCCAGAAGATTCCAATAACTTAGCCAAGGAGCCTGGATCAACTAGGCCTTTAACCTCTTCCACCAAAGTACATGTAACAGAAGGCGGTACCTGTAACAGAAGACAGGAGTGAACTTCTTTCCCTGCAT